CACACACACACACACTCTCTCTCTCTCTCTCTCACACACACTCTCTCTCTCTCGCTCTCTCACACACACACACATACATACACTAGGGATGTGCATCTCATGACTGAGGCGATACGATACGCATCTCGATGCATAGCCAAAGATACGATACATTATAAGATGCATATGAAGCAGCTACTGATGCGATACGATACGATTCACCCCTATTACGATGCAGTGCGATCCGATTTAACATAATGCGATTCAATGCAATATGATGCAATAGAAAAAATATGATCGCTTTTATTACTTTGGTTCAGGCAGACAGCAAATCATCAATTAATTTTAGTGTCCTCTGACTTCTAACGCCTCGATGCCTGTTTCATGAAACAAGTTTACCAAATAAGCCGGGCTTATTTCAGTTAGTCTGACTCATTGTCACATGATTTGGTTCCATAAAGTAAATTTAACAAAGCTCAAGCTCAGTCACTGTGATAACTCATGCTGGAAACTAACCTGGTCAGGAGCAGGCTAACTGAGCTCCTCTAACACTGACCAACAGGAACGCATTGATATCACACACTATTACAGCCATGCAGCCTTTCTCTCTGCTTATGTGACAGCTGTACCCTTTATAGTTAACAGAACATTACAATATAAAATTGCTCTTTAAAGCATTAAAATCACCAAATTAAAAGTTAAAATCACTAAATTAAAAATGAAAATAAATTAAGAAAAAGACTACATTTTAACTGCTACATGATTAGGAAATGTAAGCTTACATTTTATTTACCCATTACAATAGTCCCTTTACAGTTACCACTATCATAAAAATACACTTATATGTAGGTTTAAAACTCTACAAAAGGCACATTTAATGTCCAACAACGAATATTTTAGCGAAATGCATATTTTACTCCGAATCATTGTGCTATTACTCTATTCCGCTCCGTCAGCGCTCGTTCACTCGCCTGCTCCTGACAGCAAAATGGATTTGTTAGCATGACTTTCTAACATTTACAGATGAAAAATATACCTGTGACATGCCAGTCATGCACTGAGGAAAACACAACGTCTCAAATGCATTAAACAGCACAGATATATTCACTGTTTGCATTGGTGGATTGATTGATCCATGATCGACATTAAGGACTTTAATCCCTGCTTTTCCTCTGTCTCTGTAGTGTTGTGATGCAGCTGCAGTGATGAGAGAGTGCGCTTGAGAAACAGTTTAGAGAGGAGAAATCAACCTACATATAAAGTATTGGTCACGGATTATTGGTCACGTTCTAAACAATAAAAGTATAGTGCATCCACTAGTAATTATATATAAATAAATAGTTTTTTACTGATGCAAATATGTTAGAAATAATGCATTACAATACAAATGCCAACTTGTATCCAATGCACACTTTTTAAATCGATACATTGCAACGTCAACTTTTTCTGTGAATCTGTGAATCTAACCATCCCTAACACACACACACACACACGCATGCATGTGGTACGCTGTCATCTGAGTGAGTGTGTGTTTTCTCAGGTGGGAGCAGAGGAAGGATCCTCACGGCAGAACGTACTACGTTGATCACAACACAAAAACAACCACCTGGGAGCGACCGCAGCCATTACCGATGGGGTGAGACACACACACACACAAACACACTCTCACTCTCTCTCACACACACACACACACACACACACACACACACACACACACACAGGCGTGTGTTATATATTCAGGCGTCTGACTGAAATCAGATCATTTGTGGGTCGCAGTGTTGTGGCGCAGTGGCTTGACCGCTCCAGTAGTTTATTATAGATCAGTGGCCCAACATGTTAATTTCTGACATGCTCGTGATGTGAGTTTGTGGCGGGACTGATGGAGGAGTGTTCAGGAAACATGTTTGAAACATATTTAAAACAATATTGATGTCGTTCTGCTGGAGAGTGCAGTGAGGATCAGCAGTGGAAATGAAGTGTTTGTTATTTGTACAGGTGTGTAGTGATGTTAGCAGTGTTGCTTGTCTGTGTTGATGACTGACTCTCGTCTCTGACTGTAGCTGGGAGCGGAGGGTGGATAACCGCGGCAGGATTTATTACGTGGATCATAACACGCGCACCACCACATGGCAGCGGCCGACGATGGAGTCTGTGAGGAACTTTGAGCAGTGGCAGTCTCAGCGCAATCAGCTGCAGGGAGCCATGCACCAGTTCAACCAGAGATACCTCTACTCGGTACACTGATCATTGTGTCTGTGATCGTGATGAACTCGTTTACACAGTGATGCTGTCAGGGTTCAGCCGCACGCTCTGCTCACGTTCTGTCTCTGTCTCCAGGCCTCCATGATGTCTGCTGAGAACGATCCTCTGGGGCCGCTGCCGCCGGGCTGGGGTAAGTTAGCGCTCCGCTGGGTCACACACACATGTGCTGTGTGTGTGTGTGTGTGACTGTGAGTGTGTTGTGTTCATGTTCTCAGAGCGCCGCGTCGACACCAATGATCGCGTCTACTTCGTCAATCACAACACGAAGACGACGCAGTGGGAAGATCCACGAACACAAGGGTGAGTGAAGCTCCTCCACTGACCTCTGTGACCTTCAGATCTCACTCTCCTCACGCGTGTGTGTGTGTGTGTGTGTGTGTGTGTGTGTGTTTGTGTG